ATGTTAGGCAGAGCCCAGAAGCCAGATGAGAGACGGCTGTTACTAGGTTCACACCCACATTGCCCACTAGGCAGCCACATCTCTTTGAAGGTTTTTTGTTGATTTTATTGTTGATGAAAATCAATTTGCCATGAAATCAGAAAGAATTTACTAAAGTAGTCATCACAAAATGCAGAAGCAATATTCTAAAATAGAAACTGCATGTTATTACTGCATCAAAGACAGAAAAGCTTGCCTTGAGAAGTATTACATATTTTTCAAATAAAAGTCCACCAAACAGCACTTACTTTTAACACAGAATCATGAGACTGCTTTAATACCCCATTTCGTAATTTCAGCCAAGCTTATTAACAGAAATGCCAAAATACCTGGCATTACAACATAATTTATTCACAACATGTCCATTTGTGATTTCCATTTAAGGACAATAGGTTAGTCTAAGAAATTTGCTTTCAAGCTTTCCTATTTTCCTTACTCTTGTCTGGGTGTCTTCAGGTGTTGTCTGATTTTCTGTAACTCCTCTAGCCCTTTCTCTTAGAGATAATATGTTCGTTTGCCACTGCTTTCAAAAATAAGCTTGTAGAACCACTGCTTCCTCTGTTCTCCTTCACCAGTCTTTGCCATCAACACCACCAAAAATAGCAACACTCTATCTGAAGCTACAGTAAGTTACCCTGAAGATTGCTCAGAAGCAACTGCCAGTGAAACTGGCAGCTGTGTGGTTGTTTAGAACCAGCTGGCCATATGGTGTATGAAGACTTAGGCTTTAAAGAACTTTCTAAATTGCTAGTTAATTTCCTGAGGTATTTTGAAATATTGCATACATACTGTATATTTTCCTTTCTAGATTTCTCTAAGAATACTTTTTCTTCTCACAATTTAAAATGTAGCTTCTGTGAAAGCATTCCTGGCTGGTCTTAAGTAGGATGTGAGTTCATATGTTGTGGGATCTGACCAATACAGGAAAGAAATCATGACTGTATGGTAGGATTTTGCTACTGGTGCTACCTTGAGTATTACTATATTTTACTTTGTTTTGTTTTCTTTTTCTGCTTTCAGATTTATTGGCTAGGTATAACTAAACAGCCTTCGGCTGAGGCAGGAGGATCACTTGAATCCAGGAGTTCAGGACCAGCCTGGGCAACAAAATGAGACTCCATCTCTACAAAAAATAAAATAAAATTAGCCGGGTGTGGTGGCGTTCTCCTGCAGTCCCAGATACTTGGGAGGCTGAGGTGGAAATATCACTCGAGCCCTGAGCCTGGCGGTGGGTCAAAGTTGCAGTGAGCTGTGATTGAACCACAATAGAACTACTGCACTCCACCCTGGGCAACAGAAGGAGACACTGTCAAAAAAAGACATACATCGTGTAGTACCTTAGCAGCATACCCAACATAGAAAAGCAATCTGCATTATCATGTCTTAGAAAGGTGAAGCAAACATGGTATTAAACAGTATATTCTGCAAAGTCACCTAACTGTGAAACCACAGAGAAGAGTGCTGGCCCAGACCTTGTAAAGCACACAAGGAGCCCCTCATGTGGCTTCGGTTATTTAGTTTTTCTGTTGGATAAAAAGATTGGCAGTTGCATGTTGAACTTCTTAACACTTGCTGATCTAAATTTGAAACATGGCTAATCTTTGTAAAGTCAGGCAAAGTTGAGAAGAGGGTTGTGAGAGGCCTGACTGAAGTTTGGTCAAGGAGAGTCCTTGTCAACATACATACCCATACATATTTGTATGTATGTGTGTGTCCTTGGACATATTACATTTCAATGCCTGTTACATCCACATTGACATGTTGAGTAGGTAAATATATAAATTTAGAATCTAGCACTTAAGGGGGAGACTGGAGGCTGGACATAAATTTGAGGTTCAGAGCACATTAGTGCTATAAGAATATGGAGGAAACAAAGAAATCTGAAGACTAAGTCTGGGCTTGGAGGTCTGGAACAGGAGGATCCAGTCACAGAGCTGAGGAGGGGAACAATAAAGAATGAAGTCGAGCCAGTGATCGCAAATAACTTTTCGGGAGTTTTACTATAAAGAAATCAGATGGTAGCCAAAGGGCAATAAGTAGAGTTATTAAATGAATATATGGCTATAGTTATTATAATAGTTTCAGATATAGCTATGGTTATACATAAAGTACAGATTCTCCCTCAGGGCTTTCACACTTGGCATTCTCTCTCCTTTTTGATATTTCTGTTTGGCTCGTTCTCATCTTCCAGTGTTCTTTCTAACTCATCACTGTACCAAAATTTGCTCCCATCACAACTAACTTCTGTTCCCTCCTTCTGTTTCATTTAAATCAATAAAAGTTATCAATTCTTTTTTTTTTTTTTTTTTTTTTTTTGAGACGGAGTCTCGCTCTGTCGCCCAGGCTGGAGTGCAGTGGCCGGATCTCAGCTCACTGCAAGCTCCGCCTCCCGGGTTTACGCCATTCTTCTGCCTCAGCCTCCCGAGTAGCTGGGACCACAGGCACCTGCCACCTCGCCCGGCTAGATTTTTTGTATTTTTTAGTAGAGACAGGGTTTCACTGTGTTAGCCAGGATGGTCTCGATCTCCTGACCTCGTGATCCGCCCGTCTCGGCCTCCCAAAGTGCTGGGATTACAGGCTTGAGCCACCGCGCCCAGCCTCAATTTTTAAAAGTATAAAATTTATTCATGCATTTATTATCTGTCTTTCCCATTGGAATGTAAACTCTAAGAGAGTAAAACCTTGCATTCATTAATATAAACTAGAACTGTGAATTACACAAAATATGTTCAATAAATAATTAAAGCATGAATATATGCCAGTTTGTATGGTTGTGTGTATGCACACATACACACTTTTATTGCACAATCTCATGTGATTTATTTAATAATTAGAAAAAAATATGTAAAATCTTCTTTCCTGTTCATGTCCTGATGCAAAGAGGCAAAATAACAGCATCATAATCAATAATTTACTAAGGATTTATTTTTTATTTTAATCAAGTGTTTACTAAGGTAAATTTTTCATATCCATGCCTGTGATTTTATTTCAGCTAGGTGTCCAATACTTCAGAAAGTTAAGACCTTATCATTCAAAAGCAAGCAAGTGGAACAACAACAACAATAAAAAACGAATGAAAAAAAGGCCTTATCTAGATTCTAAAAAATATTTTGCAATGCAATATATTATTATTATTTAATATGTTTATTTTATTTAATTTGGTAAAAAGTGAAAACACTCAAATCATAGTCAAACATGATGGATCACGCAAAGAGTATTAAGAAACTGAATTGTAAGTAACAGGTAATATGAGTAAATTAAACCTAATGGAATCTTAATAGAAGCAAATTTGTTTCCTATTGGATTTTCCAGTACTTTTGCTGGTAGCTAACATGCTCATAGGGAAAAAGAAATCTAGTTTAAAACTTTATGAACAGGAAAAAATGTACAAATATATGAGAATAGAAAATATGCATCCGTTTTAAAAGATATAGAAATACCACATGGAGATTCTGCATGTGCAAAGCTAACTAGAACAGTTCTCCATCCTGGAGATAAACAGATACAATAAAATGTGTTAAGTGATAAAAGAGGACTTAGGAGTTCAGGGAAGCCATGCTGGGGAGACGATGACAAACTTAAATCTTAAAGAATGTGTGAGACTATAAGAACGCACAGTATGAAATTTATAATATAACAGCATGAAGTATTTGGGAAATTCATAACAAAAACAATATTAAAGAATAGACGAAAGTACAGGCATAGATTATTATGTGTCATTTTCTCCTCCTATATAAAGAAAATCTAAACTTGTGGCAGAGACAAAAGCTTATCTCATGTCTAGATGCTGGTGCGCTCACCTCTTAAATACTTACAATATTTAAGTGTCGTCGGAGATATCTAGAGGCAGGAGGGTTGGCAAGAATGTAGTTGTTGCTGAAATTGTACACAGTATAGAGTAATCAAAAGTTATCCCAAAGAAAGGGCTAGTAAAAATCATTCCTTCTGTGACTTTCTACAGTTGACTATTGAACCATTCTGAGAAAGCGCCCAAATAGAGTTTTGCCCAGACTCCTAATGTAGACTTATTACAGTGAAGATACCTTATGTATGATACATTCACCAGTTCAGTGACATTTCACCCTATAAATTTCCTCATTTAATATGTCTCATTAACACAGATACAGGACTCTTGAGCAATTTTCTAAGGATTCTTATAGTCAAAAATAAATATTTGAACATTTCATTCTCCATAATAACATTACCAAGTCATAAGTGTGTGGCCTGGTCAAATGATATTACCAAACACATCCAGCCTTTCCCAGTGAATTCTCAAAGATCCTTTTGGAATAAATCTCTACAAATTGTCATTTCTCCCAAACACTGAATTCTAACACCGAGAAAATTGCTAACACTTTATAAAATAAGAAATAATGTAGTTCAGATGTGAAATAAATCATTTCAAACATCAAATTTGATATATCTCTTAGCTTATTGTTCTTTTGGGGGTCAGGTGAGTTGTTTAATATCATTGAAACATTTCAAGAAAAAAGCAGGATTCTTTTAGATTTGCAGGTAAGTATTTGAAATTGCTTCAGGTAAGATGATCCAAGTGAAATAGAGCAGAGAGATTAAATGAGAGAATGATACAATGGATGTGATTAGGTGATATGATTGAAGAAAGAAAAAGGAACCAGCCGGGGAATTAAAGAAAATGAACACAGACATATAGAAACATCCTACAGAGGACACAGAAAAAGTGAAACGATTTGATAGCAACCTACACAAAGGACTAAAGAAAATGAAAATACAGAATATACTTCTGAAAAGAAAAAGAAGGGAGGCCAATAATTGATTTTTAGGAAGACAGCAGAGATAGCAGAAAGTGGCACAGGGTGATCCCAGGAGACGGAAATCACAGGAAATGGTGAAAGAGCAGTTCAGGCATGCTTGTAAATTTGGCCATCAGTGTTGTAGGTAACCTCCTGAATGTGTTAAATATCAGATTCAAAGTTCAGTACCTTGGCTTTATCTCTCATTGATCCTTTGCCCAGGATAGACATTTTAGCACCTGTTTCTTCTTGTAGCCTCTTCAAGGAGTTTCCTCTTGGTCCAAGCAATTTCCCCACAAAATTGAACTAGGAAACAAAATCAATAGAATGTCTGTTTTAAGGTACAATAAAGTGATTATTTGCACCAAGAATAATTGATGGGTTATAGGTTTTTCAAACTTTACCACTGAGAAGAGAGTCATGCCATAAACACACACACACACACACCCCAAACCATTTCAGATATCTAATCTAACACTCATTTTAAAAGCTATATCTCTTCTTAAAACAATGCCTAAGTCAAAAGTATGTTGAAAATACCATTTACATATATAATCAAATGAATCATTTATTAAGGAAAGAAATTAAGGAGAATCATGCTGGTTTACAGAATTTCTAAAGGCTTCTTCTCTCAAATTATATTATTGAAATAAGAGATGATTTTAACATAAGTCTATAAACCTGCAAAATTGTAAAAGTTTGCAATCAATATTTTAAAATTGATATTTAAATTGATATCTAAAATAAAGTTTGATATTCAAGTTTGTTAGGCATTGTCTGGTGTCCATAACTTTCTATTACAACTTTCATAATCAGGAATAAAGGGACTCAATTATTCTTCAATCTTACATTGTCTCTATTAAAGAGTTGTTTTAGGATTAGTAAATAAAATATGTGAGCATATAAAAGTTTAAAAACAGTACTTATAAAGCATATATACAAAACACTGTCTAAATGAAAAATTCTAGGGCTCCACACAATTTGCTTAATCATCTTGAAACATGAATAAGAGCAAGTGAACTAAGAGCAGTTATGAAAGCATTTATGTTAGCTACTAAAGGAACCTTACCAAACTGAATGACCAAGGTAATAATTTGTGCTATAATTCGTTGAATAAATTAAAAAATACAAAGAACATAGAATGCACCAAAAGCTATCTTGGGAACACAAAGAACAATGATAAGCATGACTAAGTAAAATTGCTTTTTATATCAGATTTTTCCCTCCCTCCCTCTCTCTCTCTCTCTCTTTTTCTTTCTTTTCTTTCTTTCTTCCCTTTCTTCCTTTCTTTCTTTCGCCATAATCCCTCAGTAAGAAATACACCACAGTTAATGATATAAAACTCAGGTTTTTTTCCCCAAGTCCAGGATAAAAAGACAGATATCTGTTCTTACCACATTTATTCAATTTTGTCCTGGAGTATGGATTGTTGTATGTATAGGTAAATAGACATGGGATAGTATAATGCCCAAAAAGACTATACATAGGTGGTTGATTTATTTTCAGCAAAAGTGCCAAAGCAACCAAATTTGAAAAGTAAAGTGTTTTCAACAAATGGTACTGAAACAATTAAATATCTGTATGAAAAAGAAGGAAAACAAAAAACAACCTTTCACGACCTCTTTCACACTTAGGCAAACCTTATTTTGAGAGTGATCATAGAACTATATGTGACAACTAAAATTATAAAGATTCTAAGAAGCAAGCATTAGAAAAACCTTTGTGAACCTAGGCTAGGAAGAGATTACTTAACGAAGAAGCAAAGAACACTAAAAAAAAAAAAAAAAAAAAAAAAAAATCCCTAATGACTAATGATGATGAGCTTTTTTTCATATGTTTGTTGGTCGCATAAATGTCATCTTTTGAGAAGTGTCTGCTCATATACTTCACCCATTTTTTGATGATATTTCTTTTTTCTTATAAATTTGTCTTTTATATTCCTTGCAGATTCTGGATATTAGAATTTTGTCAGACAGGTAGATTGCAAAGATGTTCTCTCGTTCTGTAGGTTGCCTGTTCACTCTGATGATAGTACCATCTTATGCCAGTTAGAATGGCAATTATTAAAAAGTCAGGAAACAACAGATGTTGGTGAGACTGTGAAGTTTTAGGAAAGCTTTTACACTGTTGGTGGGAGTGTGAATTAGCTCAACCACTGTGGAAGACAGTGTGGTGATTCTGCAAGGATCTAGAACCAGATATACCACTTGACCCAGCAATCCCATTACTGGGTATACACCCAAAAGACTGCAAAGCATTCTACTATAAAGACACATGCACACATATGTTTACTGAAGCACTGTTTACAATAGAAAAGACTTGGAACCAACCCAAATGCCCATCAATGAGAGACTGGATAAAGAAAATATGGCAGCACATATACACCATGGAATGCTATACAGCCATAAAAAAGGATGAGTTCATGTCCTTTGCAGGGACATGGTTGAAGCTGGAAACCATCATTCTCAGCAAACTAACATAGGAACAGAAAACCAAACACTGCATGCTCTCACTCATAAGTGGGAGTTGAACAATGAGAACACATGGACACAGGGAGGGGACCATCACATACCAGGGCCTGTGGGGGTAAGGGGAGGAATATCATTAGGAGAAATGCTTAATGGAGATGATGGGTTGATGAGTGCAGCAAACCACCATGGCATGTGTATACGTATACCTAGGTAACAAACCTGCAGATTCTGCACATGTATCCCAGAACTTAAAGTAAAAAAAAAAAAAAAAAAAAAAAGATGAGAAAAAAAAATTCCTTCTGATGCAAACACTCATTTAAATATTGAATAGATAAGCCACAGGCTGAGAGAAAACACTCCTTACTTCTGAAAAATGATTAATACCTATAATCTATAAAGAACTCCATCAAAGCAATGGTAAATCACACACACACATATACACATACCTCGGAATGGCTAAAACTAAAAGAAAACTCATGGTATATGCTGAAGAAGATGTGGAATTACTAGTGCAATTGCTGTTGGCAATTTAAAATGATACAGCAGTATCATTTTAAGATTTGGCAGTTATTTATAAAGTTAAACATACAGTTCCACTATGATCCAGTAATTCAACTGCTAAGTATTTATCCAAGGGAATTAAAAACATATGTTCATAAAAACAACTTGCACGTGAATGTTCATGACATTTTATTCACAATCACCATTAAGCCAAATGTAAACAAGTGCTCGTCCTAGAAGAACGGATAAACAAGTTTATACATAAACAGAAAGGAACTAGCCACTGATTGACATAACAACCTGGGTATATCTAACAGACATTTGAGAAGCCAGATATAAAAGAATACATCATGTTAGATTCCACTATTACAAAATTCTAGCAGCAAAAATAATATATGGTGTTAGAGTTCATAAGAGTGGTTGTATGCTGGGAACAGAGCCTGGTGTTGAACTGGCTGGAAAGTGGCATGAAGGAAACATCTGGGGTGACAGAATTGCTCTATATTTGTTGGAGGTAGAGGTATACTTTTATTAAAATTTATCAAGCTGCACTCTTAGGAACTATTATTTCATTGTATGCAAATAGCATTTCAATTGAGAATGTGAAAAACAAAATGAAAGAATAAAAACTCATGTAAAAATATTTTTGAAATAACATCAGAGTTTCTGTTATTACATTTAGATCTCATCCATTTTGGGTTAATTTTTGCATATGATATATGATAAAGGTCCAATTTCATTCTTTTGCATATAGAAATCCAGCTTTTTTTTAGCACAATTTATTGCAAAGATTGTCCTTTCCTCATTGTGTTCTATTGGTGCCCTTGTAAAAAAAAAAAAATCAGTCCACTGTATATGTTTAGATTTATTTCTGAGAAAACATAGGTTCAAAACCTCTGAAGGTTGGCCTTGGTAAAGAATTTTTGGATGTCATACCAAAAGGTCAAGCCACAAAAGCAAAAACAAACGGGACTACATTAAACTAAAAAGCCCCTTCACAGTAAAGGAAACAATCACCAAACCGAAACAACAGCCTCTGGAATTGGGAAAAAAAATATTTGCAAAGCACACATCTACTAAGGGGTTATTATTCAAAATTTATAATGAATTAAGACAATTCAATGGAAGAAAAACATTTAAAAATGGGCAAAAGATCTGAATAGACACTTAATAAAAGAAATCATAAAAATAAACAACAGGTATATGAAAAGATGCTCAACATCATTAATCAAGAAAATGCAAATCAAAACCACTATGAGATACCACTTCACACTTATCAGGATGGCTGTTTCAAAAAAGTCAAAAGATATCAAATTTTGACATGAGTGAGAAGAAAAGGGTAGACTGCCCATGGGAATGTAGATTGGTATATCCATTACAGAAAATTCTATGAAGGTTTCTAAATAAATTAAAAATAGAACTACTATATGACCCAACAATCCCTCTCCTGGGCATATAACCAAAGGAAATAAAAGTCACCTTGTGAGGATACCTGCACTTTAATGTTTATTGTAGCATTATTCATGATACTAAAGATATGGAAACAATCTAAGCGTCCACTGACAGACAAATGGAAAAAGAAACAATATAGTGGAATATTATTCAGCCTGAAAAACAATGAGAACTTGCCATTTTTGCCACAATGTGGATGAGCTTGGAGGACAATATGTTAAGTGAAATAAGCCAGACACATAAAGAAAAATATGGATGATCTCATTTATATATGGAATCTGAAAAAAAATACTGAGAAAATGAAACCGTTTACCAGGGTTGGAGTGGAAATAAGGAGATGTAAGTCAGAGGATAAAATGTAGGAGATAGGTAGGATGAACAAGTCTAGAGACAGAGTATACACTGGCAGTCCTCAACCTTTTTGGCACCAGGGACCAGTTGCATGGAAGACAATTTTTCCACTGGTGGGGGTGGAGGAGGGTGGGGGTGTTTTGAAATGGAACTGTCCACCTCAGATGATCTAGCATTAGATTCTCATAAGGAACACACAGGCTAGATCCCTTGCATGCGCAGTTCACAATAGGGTTCCATTTCTGTGAGAATCTAATGCCAGGGTTGATCTGACAGGAGGTGGAACTCAGGCGTTAATGCTGGCTTGCTAGCTGCTCACCTCCTGCTATGTGGCCTGGTTCCTAACAGGTCACAGACCAGTACAGGTCTGCAGCCCAGGGACTGGGGACCCCTGGTGTACACCATGTAGACTATAGGTAATAAAATTGTTCTGTATTTGGATTTCATCCTAAATAAGTAGATTTTGGCTGCACTTGCCAAAAAACTAAAAAAAAAAAATGGGTAACTGTGAGATGATGGATATGTCAGTTT